ATCCCTACCTCGCCAAATTCGAAGACGCGGCGCCCATCCTGCAGCTAGGCTTCGGCACGAGCGACCTGCAGAACCATTTCCGGCAACGCGGGTTTCAGAACGTGACCAACGTCGACTTTGAGCCACGTGCCATCGACCGCGGTCGCATGTTGGAGAAGCAAACATTTGGTGACGTGAAGATGCGGTATCTCGTCGCGGACGTCACGCAACTCCAGCTGCCGGACAAATATGATTTAATTGTCGACAAAAGCACGGTCGATGCGGTGTCCTGTGGTGGTATCGAGCCGTTTTTGCGAATGGCGGAGGGTGTGAGACGGCACCTGACGGATGGAGGGTTCTGGATCTCACTGAGCTACTCGTTCTGCCGATTTGACGTGGAGGGATTGCCTTTCGACGTTGAGGTAATTGCAAAGATTCCGACGCCGAAACTGAAGCCGCATGATCCGGATGTCTTTCATTACTGCTATCTATTGAGGCCAAAGGACTTCCGCTGATGCATTGCGTTATTTCATGGCCGGCTTACTTTGAGGGCAGAGTGCTTCATGTTTGTCTTGAATACCCTGCGTAGAGCGCTTGATTTGCAATTTTCTTCATCGCCATTTTCAGCATGTTCATAAACAGGCAATGCATATTGGGAAGTGTATCGTCTACTTTATTTGTCATCAATATCATCAAATCTATACTATCTATCGTCTACACCTCGATTCGCCGTCTATGCCAGCGGAGTTCCCGGCTTGAAAGAAGGATGGAAGGGGTAATCAGTGTATCCCTGAGGGATCGAGGGGGTGTAAAAGGTCTCCCGGTCGTACTTGTTCAGCGGCAAACCGTGCTTGATACGGAAAGGCAGGTCGGGGTTCGCCAAAAAGTGGCGGCCAAAGACAACGGCAACGTCCCACTTCGCATACTCCTCGTCAACGGCGCGCATCGCCAATTCCGGGGTGAAACCGCCGGCAACGAGGACAGGCGAGGTGTTGTCCCAGATCTCCAAGAGAAACTCAATGCCCTCGACCTTTTCCACATCCTGCCAGTTGTTGACGCGGGATTCGATAATGTGCAAATAAGCCAGCTTCAGCTCCTTCAACTTCTGCGCGAGGTAGGAGAACTGCGGGACGGGGTCCTTCATTCTCATCGCCTGGAAGTTGCTCCACGGGCTGATGCGGAAGCCCACCTTATCGGCGCCGATGGCCTCAGCCAGTGCCGCGGCAACATCGACGGGGAATCTGGCTCGGTTCTCGACGCTTCCGCCCCACTGATCCGTGCGCTTGTTGCAGTTGTCCTGGAGGAACTGGTCGACCAAGTAGCCGTTGGCGCCGTGGACCTCGATACCGTCGAACCCGGCAGCGATGGCGTTCTTGCCAGCCTGGGCAAAGTCCTTGACCGCTTGCGCAATCTCCTCTGCGGTCATCTCGCGCGGAACGGGCGAGTCATCGCTAATCGGCACGGCACTGGAGCTCAGGAGTGGGTGTCCGCCCTCCTTCTCTAGGACGGGCACGACGGCGGCGCGACCAGGCGCGATAAGCTGGCAGTAGATGCTGCTGCCTTTCTCGTGGACAGCGTCGGTGATCTTCTTCCAGCCAGCGATCTGGCGCTCCGTCCAGATGCCCGGGGCATTAGGAAAGCCGCCGTGGGCCTCAGAAATAAGGACGGCTTCAGCGATGATGAGAGTGCCCGGCACGGCGGCGCGCTGCACGTAGTACTCGAGTGCGATGTCGAGGGGGATGTGATCGGCGTCGAAGCGGAATCTAGTAAGGGGCGCCATCACCACGCGGTGAGAGAGCTGGGCCTGGCCGACCTTGAGAGGCTGGAAAAGTTTGGACGACATGGTGATAGCCGTGGAGGATTCGACCAAGTTACAGACGAGACACAACGTGGTGAGATGAGGTGGTTTGACCGTTATCGTCTGACGGCTTCAAGAGGGAGATCTGCTAGATAAATAGGCACCGGCATTTCTCACTGCTGCCCCTCGGTGGGTTCACTCGGTATGGAGAACAGGTGGTGTTTGGATGGTAACACGCGAAGACCCTTGGCGTAAGGCCCTGGGACCAGGGGTTGAGAATCGACAAGTCGGGGCCGTCGACAAATTGCGTTAAAGGCGTTGGAGTCTTGAAACGGTCGCTGTCCAATGACATTTCGACCTCGGACTCCAAGCCTCCAGTGATTGGGGTCACAGTCCATTGGAGACAACTGGGCACACTGAAGAATTGCTTAGAAATCCTACGTTGCTCAGCATCCAGATTTCCCGTCTCGGTCCACTTTGGCAACCTGATCAAGTGGGCCTGGGGGCAATTACACGATGTGGGAATCATTCCAGAAGTTCTTGTCAATCACTGAAGTCACATGTTGATTAGTCTTAGAATTGAAGCTGAGAATTGGTAGGGCGTAAGATTGGCTTGTGCCACCTCGTCTATTCCATTTCAAGTGTCGCAAATCACAAACCCCATCTCAGTACCAGTACAAACTCGGGACGTGCCAATCTAGTAATGCTAATGATCCGACACAATGAGCGCTCTTCCTAAATTCTCCTCAAACTACCCCGCTTGCTTCATGAAATGAAAATTCGACATGACGTAAATATGACCCCCAGATGCAGTCGCTCTAATTAATAAAACAGTGACCACGATGGCTGAAGACAGGCTGTGAAAGATAAAAAGACTATAAGGTCATGGCTCCTCATTGCACCACTTCTTCGATAAAATCCAACACGTAGTCGGCAACTTGCTCCCACCCGGTCTGGAATATCATCCCATGCGTGCGACCGGGGAACATCTTGTATTCCACAAGTGAAGGCCCGGTGTACGCTTTGAAGTTTTTCATCACCGTACTCGGAGGTACGATATGATCTTTGGCGGCTGAAAGTAGTAACAATGGGGCCCGGTCGACCCTGTCGAAGTCAACGTACGTCGGAGCAGACAGCCCACCTGCGACGTTGGTGGTCAGCTGCCAGAGGACCTTTGCGACACCCGGAATGCAGTAGCGCTCGTAGTATTCTTTGCTCTTGTCAGATGTGGTGTTATTGACAAAGGCCCAGTGGAAGTGTTCTTCTGAAATGGAGACGGTGCTATGCGAGTTGAATGGGTTCTTGATGATCGGAAGTGCGGCCTTGAAAGTGGTTTGCGGGAGAGTGATGATTCCTGCTGGTTGTGCCGGGCATATTGCGACACCAGCGACGCCAAGCCCTCTTGATAACAGTATTTGCGCAAACAGGCCACCGAAAGAATGGCCGATAATGATAGGCGGTGCTAGCAGTTTGTGGATGAAGGCTTCGTAATATCCGACGATTTCCTCGATGTGCCTGTTGGCCAATAGCTGTGGATCGGCCCGGACCTCTTCGGGGGTGCGGCCGTTGATTCCCGGCCACTCGGGGGCGTGTACCTCGTACCCCAAATCTTCGAAGAACGGTACCCAATGCTCCCAGTATGCAGCGGTAACCCACAGGCCGTGGATGAACAAGATCGGCGGTTTTGGTGAGTCCATGAGTCTTTACTGAAGAAAACACAATGGTTTTCCCTTTTCGAATGAGAATTCAGACCCTGATGGCCAAGATCGTAAGACCCTTGAAGCCCGGTGTATTTGAAGCGCTGGCTTCGGTGCTCGGTGACCACGCCAGCCCGTAGTCAATGGCGTCACACTGACCTCATCACTTTTCGTAGGCCATCGACGACGCCCGCGATTCCGATCCATCGATCTCACCCGGCGAAAAGTGTTTAACCACCACTTAACTGCGAGATGGATTTCTTTGTTCGATCGCACATGCCATGTTGTTTTTTTGGTCGTGTTGTCTTTGCATATGCCGGAGTTAATGGGTTGAGGATATTCTCGTCACACTGGGTGACTGGCTTATTGGTTACCACGCGCGAGGATGCATGTCATCTCAAGTACTCTTGACAACTGAAGTTTGCTCTTTTGGTTTCATGCACGCTGTGATTCTAGAATAGGTAATGCCAGGTCCCATGGGGATCCGAGACAATCAGACAGATTATGGCTCTCGTCACCTCATGTGATGTGTGTGCCTTCGACTCCCTGACTTCCCGGGGCTATGTCAGTCCTATCGGGTATCCGGGCAGCCGGGTACCGATGATCGATGCGCTATCGGAAGCACGGATCATCGACGTTGCTGGCCATTCTGACTGTCAGTGGCACCCTCCTGTCATCTCCTTCCTTGCCCATGCAGTCCAGATAGTGAAGTCGGTGAGACACTTTTTGGAACAGTATCATTACATATTCGTCTTAGCCTAAATTCTTACGTTCATCCGATGAAAAAGAATACTTTTACGGAACGACGTTCGTTGAACCGTAATCTTCCTTTTGACAGAGTTCGATCTCGTTGAGTGCCGCATGCACTAACCAAAATCTGTGTCAGCCATGTACTAGTAAACCAAGATCTCACATTGGCATAATCGCTCTCCATTTGCCTGAGATCATAAAACATATTTGTTGACTACTTAAACTATCTCATCTTGCTTTAAGCATGAAACCCCCCTTACGTGATCTTGTCTCCTATTCATCACTTTAGAACAAATATTCATGTTCAGAAAGGCGGGGATGGTTGAGTGCAAATCGAAAACCTGGCAAATTTCAAAGGCCTTATGGGCTTGACTAAACTCACTTACATCGCAATTATTAATGTCGTCAAACGCCCGTAACTCCTTGATTTGAAATCAGAGGTCAGAATGGAGTAAGTACTCCAACAAACATGGCGGTGTTGGGGTAGACAAAAGTATGAGCCTGAAGCTGAAAGTATTTGCCTTATCAAGAGTACTTGCCTAGATTCGAGAGTATGTGCCTGAAGTTGAAGTCTTTCAGGACCCACTTCCCACGAACTCGGGTTGGACCAGATTCCCACTACGATCACTTGAGATTTAAGTCATTGGCTGAACTTACTGAATGAATTCATGTCACTCGGGCGCAATCATACATAGAGCTACAAATGGAGCCATGGCCAGATTGTTACAATAGGTATTATTGTTGTCTGCTTTGGCAAAGTTTAAGCATCGACTGCACTATTTCCTCTCCACTTCCAGAGAAGCGAGAACAAAAGCAGACTCGCCCAGCAAGCAATTAGGCGACAGCGGCTGGTTTGTGTAGTACTCGTAGTTAGCAGTGGAGTTGAGACTGCACACCGCCATCGTCTTGTCGAAGCCAATGGTTCCGTTTCCTGGGTCGGTCACGAAGTGGTTGACAGTGTAGTTGTACGCGCGAAGAGCGGCCCTCTCAAACCGGGCGGGAGACTCTGAGTAAATGCCCAATCTAGCGCCCTTAAGCGTGGAGAACATGAAGAGCGCCGTGCGAGAGCTCTCGAGGTAGTTGCCGCTGCGTCCCGGGAATGTAATGAGTTGCCACCATAGACCGGTCTGGCGGTCGGCGTACTTGAGCAAGGTGGTTGAGAGCTGTGTCGTAACATCGCTGAGTTGCTTGCAAACTGCCTTGGCTTCCTCTTTGCCAGCCGGGCAATTGAGGGTCTCCCACGTCTGGACCAAGCCAGCGACAAACCAGCCCACAGATCGGCCCCAGATATACGGGCTCGAGCCGGTCTCCTCATTCGCCCAGACTGCAGTGCGCGAATAGTCGTATCCATGAGCGACCAGCGAGGTGTTCTTCTGGAAAGTGTGCTCGTAGAGCAGAGACACCTGCATGCTGATGTCGGTGTAGTTGGGGTGGGACTGCGCCGCTATGAAGGGCAGAACAGAGAAGATGCCGTCGAGGTAGCTCCATTGGGGATAGACGTAGTACCAAAACCCGCCGACGGGGTTGCGGATCTGAAGGGGAAGCGAGCTGTTCAATGCATCGAAGGCTGAGGCTGCGGTGGCTGAAATGGTGACAATACCGGCGGTGGAGGCATGGTTGATGGCGGTTGCGACGGAGAAACGATCGAGGGGACGCGTCGAGTCATAGGTCGCGTTGGTGAGGGCCGGCGAAGCAACATCAAGTACGTCCTCGAGGTAAGACGCGTATCTGCTCTACAAATCGGGGTACTGCTTGATTGTTGCCTCCATCGCAATGGCCAGAATACCGCTTTCCAGGGTGCTGCTTGAAGCTCCAGATGACTCAATTCTTGGTTCCGGGCCTTGATGCTGTCCAGCATCTATGTCGAGTATCGACGGGTCTCGCACGATGCGAGAGTCGCCACGCCGTAGAGGGCGGCAAGCCAAGCCGAAGGACGACGCATTGTACGATCGGATGCCCTGCGTAAGTGATGAGAGAGGGAAGGTGGTCGTGAAGAACCAAAGGTCCGGTGTCGCTGATTTCCACGGTATTTCATATCAACGCAGCAGGGCTAGGGCGTGTCATTGCCGAAGGGTTCCTACTGCTTACGCGGGGGCAGTTCATCAAGTCGTCCCCGTCAGCGCCAATCATTCCCTCGTTCCAGGCTGTTTAGTGCACCGATTGCACCGGAGACTTCAGTCTTCAAATGACGGGATGCGTGGTTGGGGCAGGGGTTCCCTGTACATGCACCGGTTCCTGTGAGTTGAGTGCTCTCAATCCCTGTGAGCGATGCGTTCAGTCAAGTATTCTGACGGATATGCGTTTTTAAAATTCGTCGAACACAGAATGAGAGTTGGTAGACATGACTAGCGGTAATTTATTCATGAGTACATAAGTCAGCATGAACACTCGCCGGCCTTGTTGAAAAAAATTAAAAAAAGGCATATTGGAAAGCTTCAGGCGATAGCTGGCACTCACAACCTATCAAAGTTTTCAAAAGGTCTACTTCCACAGCGCGAACCATTTTCCTGACTTCTCAGCGCCGCCCACAACGGGAGAAACACAGCGAGCAAAATCTTCCCCGCATAGATCAGAAGCAAGGCCTTCCCGGTTTCTCGACGAACAGTCCCTGATACCCGGCGGTCAGACCCCAAATCCGCGGAAGATCCACTAGTCGGTTGATCGCTACAGCGAGCCCAGCGAAGCCAAGAATCCGGGAAAGCAATTATCCCCATGTTTCCCCAGCTTAACTCTGTTTCTCCAGGATGCTAAGAGTGCGGGGTGTTTATTGGAATGACGATTGAGTCGTTTTATGGTGTCAAGACCATGTTTTCCGCGGACTTGGCACCCGGTGAAAAATGGAGGCTGCGACGGATTACTTCCATAAGCCGAGGGTAAGTAAGCCCTTGCACTTGAAGATGAACATGAAGTTGTGTTGGTCACTAGCCCACCAAATGAAAGACGCAAAGAGTATTGGACTAAATATGACGGGAACCGGTATGCACAGGATGCATGTGAAAAATACACTGGGCTAGAAATCAAAGAACCTATTGAAGAAAAGAAACAACGATAAAGACAAACCTCGCGGACCCACCGTCGGCGTCCGTTCCAACTGACACAGTCAGAGGTTCGAGAGGACAGCCTGAATCATTCAACCCAGCATCGGTCAAGCTCCCATGCAGGCTGTAAGCTTGGAATTTATAAGTATAAGTCTTCTCGATACATGTAGTATTTTCACAAGCAATCAATATCCAATTCGATTTCCTTGCGCCGACGCACCCTAACTCTCGCGGTAGGATTGCTTGCATTGGTGAACCCCAAAACCATTGGCGATACATTGGTAGTGGGCAAGGCCTCCCATTCATACTTTAGCAACAGATGACACATGATAATCTTGATCTCGTAAGCCGCAAAGAACCGTCCGGGGCATGCGTGATCCCCGTGTCCGAACGCAAGGTGGTCGGGGCTCGTCACAACCAGTTGGGCATAGTTGGCTTTGCCAGGCTGCTCGGCCATCTTGATAAACCTGTAGGGGTCCCACTTCTCAGGGTCTTGGTGCAGCTCCGGATCTCCCATGCGGTATGTGTCGATCGCAATCCTATCTCCTACTCTGAGGTTTAGTCCGTTCGACAACGTGAGAGGTTTCTCAACTCGTCTTCGTAATGATGCTGTACCTGTGTCAGTTCCACCCGTCATCAGGTCATACTATATGTTCAAGGATTCACTGACCAACTCCAGGCGGCTTGTGACGTTGAGCTTCTTTCAAAGCGCTGTCCAAAAGCTTCATGTTGTGAAGAGATGACTTCTTCAAGCCTTCGGAACGTAAAATGTGGATGACTTCTTCCCTGAGGGGAGCAACATATTCCGGGTGTAGAGCCAACTGTAATACAATCTCTGTGACCAGATCAGCCGTCGTGTGAATTGCGGCAACTGCTAGCATCAACTTGATTGAAGTTGTCAGTCAAAGTGCAGCAACTAAGAAAGCTCGCATCGATCAAAAGACTTACCTGCATGATGGCGGGATCGTAAGTCACGCCTCTCGCAGAGGCCTCCTGTTCTGCCCAATCAATCGCATCGTGGAACTCCGGAATCTTCTTGCCGGATGCCAGAGCGGCTGCTCGTGCTGCGCGACGCTTCTCAATATAGGGCATAATGATGCGGCGTGACTCGTCGAAGCTCGCGCGTAATTCTCGACACTTCGGCACGAACCAATGGAGAATCCGGCGTAGAGGGCGTGGGATCATGCGGAGATGTGTTCCGGCGACGAAAAAGTTCACTGTGTACTCTTTCGTCGCTCGCAGCCAGTCCTCATTTCGACACAGTTCCTCGCCTAAGAACACGCGCGCTGAAAGTCGAGCGACTGTGTCAAGAACGAAGGGCTTTACTTCAATCTCTCGCCATTCTGTGAAACATGGGTCAGCAGCTTGAGATTATCGTCGATAGGGGTTGACGTGCCTTCAGAGTCTCCAAGCTTGTCTGATAGAGCTTGTGCAGCTTCAGCTGAGACGGGCTCAATCACCTGGGCTATTTCTAATCAGCGACCAGACACGTTTGTACTAACATGTTGTAGTCGGACAACTTACCGATGCACTTGGTGAGCTGCTTTCGCACCAAGGTTTGTAGAACCGCATCATCATAGCTGTCTACCGCAGCGCCCTGAAACCCAGGTAAATGTCCGTGAAAATCCTAAGACACAAGGGTCAACATCAAGTCCGCTTCCGTCCTGTAGCCGTAGCATACTTCACCAAAGGCTGACCCGAAGCTGAGTCTCGGATCGTTACGGATTTCATCGGTCTGTTCAACAGGCAAGAATACGATCTCGCCGAGGTCGGTGATCATGCGGTAAGGGCTTTTCGGAAATAGCTTGCGTCCCTTCGCCAGGAGACTTTTGCTATTGAACACAAAATCGCGCTGGGAATGAAATACGAAATCAGCTTTTCAGCTGCCAACAGGCCTGTCGACATGTGAAAGCTTACTTTGGATTCAATGTTAAACACGGAGAAGCCTTTGCTGGGGTTCAGAAGCGGCAGATGTTTGAGATTTCCCCGTCGCGATGGGAAAGAAAAATACAGAATGGCAACTGCCATTAATGCAAGAGCAGCGGGTGTTGCAGGCGGTAGGAAATGAAATGGATCCCACATGTTCGGCAACGAGGAAAGGTATGAGAACGACATGATCTCGGAGGATCCTCTCTCGGGGACTCAGGGACAAAACATTGAGAGGGCTTTGTAGAGTGTTGGAAGATCGGCTCAACTACCACGATCAACTCCGAAATTTAAGCTCTGCTGTGCGGTTGTTATGCCATGTTTCCCACTGTGTTTACTGCCATGATCAGAAGATCAACGTCCAGCCTATTGGTACTGCTCGGTATCAGAATTACAGCCGCCGCGATGACACCAATCGCTCAACATCCGACGAACAACGTGCACAGATGTCCACTCCGTCGGGTTTCTCTCAACCCTTGACGTTGCAACGGCTCTCTTTCTGGTGACCACATCGCCCGGCACTTTCCACGGAACTGGCCATTGGTGGGTCAAAGTGAGGCATTGCACAGGGCTTAGAGCGGTTGACCCACGAATGGGCTTCCGAAAATTGCCAATCAGTCAACTTCTGGTCCGATCGAATCTACACGATGGAACCGACTGGAGCTGACTGAATCGCGCAACCCATGATCTTTTCACCCACTAACAACTAAGCGAGTGAAGCCTCGACCAAGAAGTGAATAACCTTTATCACGACCTGCAGGCTGGCATTCAATCACGATTCTGGTACGATGGTACTGGGAACGACTTGAAACATCCAGCAACATGAATCGCGCTGTTACTCGTTACTCTGAGATGGCGCCACGCTTCAGCGAGATTCCAATTCCCAAGGCAATGGATCAGTAGATTTCGGTCGATGCTCGCCTAAGGCTTTTGTGGAGGCAATCCACCGATGCAACTTTATTCGGTGAATTTGAGGAGTTCACTAAACGAGCTAGGCGCTCTACCATGGCTGAAGAATGTACGAGCTGGTCGCAAAATCGATATCGATCCTTACCGTAGTCCACCACACGATTTTCCCTCTGTCAGTTCCATGGGTTCACAGATCGAGTGCAACTTTGTAGCATCGCCTGCGTTCGTGTCACGCTTGGCGTGGGCTGACATCTTCCAGACATCGTGAAAGGTCCATAGTTGACGCGTAGACTAGAAGTCTAGAATTTAGACGTGATGGAGAATTTCGAGCTTCAACAGACGATTCCATGACTCAGCTTCATCGCAGTGCTTCTCGGAGCCCGCCGCGCGATGAGTGAGAATGCTTGTGCCAGTTTCAACCGATATCGATCGTGAAGTAGTGATGGAGGGAAGCATCATGGTTTAGTGTTAAATAGACACCAATGTCGCCTTGACGAATGCAGTCTCTTTGCAAACTATCTTGCTTTATCTAATTCAGTAATATCTCCAAAAAAACAGACGCTCAACCGTCAAAATCTCCGACCTCCTTTTCCGGACTCTTCATCATCACGAGTCACGACCGCCGGCATCATGGGAGAATACATCCAGTCGTCTTCAGAGCCCTTCCTCGTCGCTGTATGTGGCCTTGGACTTCGTGCTCCAGGTGGCATCCGGAATGCCACGGACTACTGGGACCTCCTTGTGAACGGCAGGGACGCAAGAGGACCAATTCCCGACACCCGCTACAACATTGACGGCTTCAACGACGCCCTCGGCGGAAAGAACACTATCAAGACCAGGTTCGGATACTTCCTCGCCGATGACCTCACACGCATCGACACATCGCTTTTCTCAATGTCTCGCAAAGAGGTTGAGCGATGTGACCCTCAGCAACGACTACTCCTCGAGGTTGCCAGAGAGGCTCTCGAAGATGCCGGTGAAACCAAGTACCGCGGGGAGCGCATCGGCTGCTACGTGGGCACTTTTGGTGACGACTGGGCGCAGATTGCTGGAATAGAGACTCAGCATCAAGGCGGACTCGGCTACGTTGCCACTGGAAATGGCGACCTCATGCTCTCGAACCGTGTTTCGTACGAATACGATCTCAGGGGTCCTAGGTAAGTCGAACTGCGGCATGGCCCGCCTACGACTCGCTGACAATTGTAGCATGACTATCAAGACTGGTTGTTCCGCGTCCCTCGCTGCCCTCCACGAAGCATTTCGGTCCATTCAAGATGGCGACGCAACCGGCGCCATTATTGGGGGGACCAGCTTAATCATGACCCCAACCACCACCGCCGCCTTTACTTCTGAAGGCATATTGTCCCCTGATGGTTCATGTAAGTCATTCGATGCAAAAGCTGACGGATTCGCTCGCGCGGAAGCAATCAATGCTATTTATATCAAGCCTCTTTCTGCTGCCATTCGTGACGGCAACGCGATCCGAGCTGTGATCAGAGCCACGGGCGCCAATAGCGACGGCCATAGCCAGGGACTCTTCACGCCCAACCAGATTGCCCAAGAAGCCCTTATGCGCAAGGTCTACCGGGATGCCGGCTTGGACCCATCTCAGACCGCATATGTTGAGGTATAATCGCCTACCTCGCGCACTCCCCGAAAGTCGTTGCTGACCCCAGATGTAGTGCCACGGAACCGGAACCGCGACCGGTGATCCGATTGAGACGTCGGCGGTAGGTGAGGTCTTCGGTGAAAAGGGCGTGTACATCGGTTCCGTCAAGCCAAATGTCGGCCATTCTGAAGGTGCTTCGGGATTAAACAGCCTGATCAAGGCGGTCCTTGCCTTGGAGCACAAGACTATTCCACCAAACATCAAGTTCAATGAACCCAATCCCAAGAGTATGTCTTTTGACAGTTTCGCAATTGCTCAAAACTAGAACTGATTTCCTTTTCAGTTCCATTCGCCGAGAAGAAACTTACCGTTCCTACTCTGCCAACGCCCTGGCCAGCTGACCGAGCTGAGCGCATTAGCATCAACTCTTTTGGTATTGGTGGCACGAACGCTCATGTAAAATGATGTTTTTCCAAATTGTTTTCTACGAAGCTGACAACTTGCAGGTCATCCTTGAGTCCTACGGCAAATCCAGGCCCACCATAAACGGACACGGCACATCACACCCCGAGTTACTGCTTGTGTCCGCGAACACAGCTGCGTCACTCAAGGAGCAGGTAGATCGATACCAGGAGTTTGTCGCTTTACATCCGGAGGTCAACAAGCGCGACATCGCCTACACTCTTGCTACAAAGCGTGAAGCTCTGCCTCATAGAACCTTCACCATCGTCCATGACGACAACATTATCGAAACATCAGCTCCTGTGAAGGCACCCAGCAAGGCCCCTGACGTCTACTTCATCTTCAGTGGACAAGGCGCGCAGTGGCCCGAGATGGCCAAGCAGCTCGTCACGACCGATCCTCTGTTTGAAGCTGATCTGAAGCGAATGGACAGTGTTCTCAAGAGCCTTGCCCATCGGCCGAGATGGTCCATCATCGGTAAGTAGTAATCGCCCTTAATTGCCTGAGGAGAAGTGACTCACCATCCTTCTAGATAAACTTCTTGAACCTGCCACCACAAGCCGAATCGGCACGGCGGAGCTGTCTCAACCTCTTTGCACCGCAATTCAGCTTGCGCTTGTCAACAGGCTTCGGGCAACGGGTGTCAAGCCCACAGCAGTCGTCGGTCATTCTAGCGGTGAGATCGCAGCTGCGTATGCTGCAGGTGCCATTACTATGGAAGCAGCCATCATCTCCGCATACTACCGCGGTTATGTCACCAAGCAACAAACTCTTGCTGGTGCTATGGCTGCGATTGGGCTGGGTCCTGGGGATGTCTCCAAATCCCTGGTCGATGGCGTTGTTCTGGCATGCGAGAATAGTCCCCAAAGCAGCACCATCTCCGGTGACAAGGAGAAGGTCATGGAGGTTATCGCACGAATCAAGGCTGAAATGCCTGACGTGCTGGCTCGCCCCTTGAAGGTCGACATGGCATATCACTCTCGTAAGTCTTTAATACCACTCACAGCACTCGATCCTGACAGTTTTTAGATCACATGGCTGCCCTGGGAAAGACCTATTCCGCACTTCTGGAGGCCGAACTACAGAAGATTGGAGCATGGTCCAGCAATGCCACGTCGTTGTTCTTCTCAAGCGTCACGGGCGAGGTGCTGGACCACAGCGTCACTTTTGGTCCTGACTATTGGCGAACCAACTTGGTTTCGCCGGTCCGGTTCTCCACGGCTGTCTCTCGCCTGATCGAAACCCAAGGTGATGGCTTCTTCTTGGAAATCGGTCCCCACTCAGCGCTTGCCGGGCCACTGCGACAGGTTTGCTCCCAAGCCTCTCGTCCATGCAACTATGCATCTTGCCTCATCAGAGGCGATGATGGCGTCAAGACCTTGCTCTCTTGCTTCGGCAGACTGTTCCAGGAAGGATTTCACCTGAACCTCGGCGCCCTCTACTCCGGGGGCAAGACTATCAACGATCTACCCACCTACGCATTCGACCACAGTCTGTCGCTGTGGTACGAGAGCAGAGTCTCGCAGGCCTGGCGACAGCGGAAGTATCCTCACCACGCACTCCTGGGAGCCCGTGTTCCGGAGTCGCCCGACACTGCACCTCAGTGGCGCAACATTCTATCTCTGGAGGACGAGCCATGGATCGTCGACCACAAGGTCAAGCAAGACATCGTCTATCCTTTTGCCGGCTACGTCGTGATCGCTGGTGAAGCAGTCCGTCAGATGACTGGCGTCAATGCAGGCTACAGCATCAGGCACACGGTAGCCCACTCGGCCCTGGTTCTGAACCACGAGAAGGCAGCTGAGTTGATGACGACGCTGCGCAGTCACCCTTTGACCGACTCCGATCATTCGGAGTGGTTCGAGTTCACCGTCGCATCATACAACGGGGCCACCTGGACAAAGCACTGCGAAGGACAGGTCAAGGCCCTAGATGATGAACTCCCCAGCACTCTCGTTCGCGAGGATTACCCCCGAAAGGTGGTCTCTTCTCGTTTTTACGATTACATGGGGGATGTCGGCATCAACTTTGGTCCTGAGTTTCGCCGCCTGGAGAATGTCACGTCATCAACCACCGGGGCCCTTGCTTCGGCGGACATCATCGTACCCGGTGAGGAGATGAGCAAGCCGTATGTGATGCATCCGGTGGCCATTGATGCTTGTTTCCAACTGCTGATTCTCTCTTACGCTAAGGGTCTCGGGCGCAACGTCACACAATTGTCGGTACCGACCCTCATCGAGAGTTTGGATATCCGTCGTGGCAATGGCTCGCTAACCGCGAGGGCCTGGGGATCTTCCACCACCAAGCCGGAAGGAGTTGAGTGCGTTTCCAATGGCAAGACAGCGCTGCGTCTCAACGGCTTCAAGCTCACTGCTCTTGAGGAAAGCAACGATGCCGACTATGATGAGTACGCGGCCGCCAGACTCGAATGGCTTCCCGACTTTGACTTCGTTGACGTTGCCCCTCTATTTAAGCCGCCGCCTTCGGACCGTGAGGAGGCCCGAATGATTGAGGAATTGACTCTACTCTGCATCATTGAAAGTTGTGAGAGACTTCGCGGACTGAGCCCCACCCAACCTCACTTCGCGAAACTGAGAGACTGGATCGACAGGGAAGTTCACGGGGCGAGAGAGGGAGGGAACGCGTTGGTCCCAGACTCTGCCAAGTACCTCAAGCTTACTCGTGAGGCGCGTCGGGCCAAGTTAGAAGATCTTCACAGAAGACTCTTGAACGGCAACAAGTCGGGGCTTGTCGAAGGTCTCAAACGAGTTGTCGACAATTCCGAGCGCATCTTCAAGGGCGAAGCCGAGACCATTGACATCTTGATGGAGGGTGGCATTCTGGCTGAGCTGTACAATGCTGTCAGCTTCGGTTACAGCGACTTCGTCAAACTGATGTCCAGCACCAAGCCCAAGCTTCGCATCCTGGAAGTTGGCGCCGGCACCGGTGGTACGACGGAGCTCATCCTGCGCGATCTCATGCACGAGGGCGGTCTCCCACGTTATTCGAGCTACACCTTCACTGACGTTTCCGCCGGCTTCTTTCCGCAAGCCAAGGAGCGTTTTGCGTATGCCCCGAATATGGAGTACAAGGTGTTTGACATCTCCAAAGATCCCCTCGAGCAAGACTTTGTCGAGTCCTCTTACGATATTATCTTTGCGGCAAACGTTGTTCACGCAACTCCATCGCTGAAGGACACCTTGAGCAACCTTAACAAGGTCCTCAAGCCGGGCGGTGCTCTTGTTCTGACTGAGATCTGCACCGAGCTCCGCTCTCCGACGTACATCTTTGGCAACTTCGCCGGATGGTGGCTCGGCGAGAACGACGGTCGTCTCTATGCTCCTTACGTTCACCCTTCGCGTTGGCACAGTGAGCTTCTCGCTTCCGGCTTCACTGGCGTTGAGACTGCCGTCTATGACGAAGATGCGCCGTACATGTGCTGCACCACCATCATGTCAAGGAGATGCCGAGATTTGCCTCCACGGGGAACATCAGTGACTCTGGTCACCAGTGAAGCTGGAGGCGACGTCGCCCAGTCACTCACTAGTTCCTTGACAGTCGCCGGTTTCTCAGTCACTCCTATCTGCCTCGGTGACCCCCTCCCCAAGGATCAAGACATCATCTCTTGTATCGACATCGAGAAGAATCTCTTCGAAAACATCAACCAAGACGATTTCTACGCTTTCCGAGACCTCATTCGGGAACAAGGCGTCAGCCAGAATCTTCTCTGGCTGACGAACCCCGTCCAAGTCAAGTGCAAGGATCCCCGCTCGGCGCAAACCATTGGTGCTGCCAGAACTATCCGCACCGAGCTGGCTGTCCCATTCCACACTCTTGAGATCAGCAAAGACGAGCCCAACTTCAACGATCTCGTCCTCAAGGTGTTCGGTAAAATTCGCCAGGAAGAGGACGACGATAATCTGGTTTCCGACAAGGAATTTGTCGTCGACAATGGAACGATCTGCATCGGCAGGTACCATCCGTTCTCGCTGGAGCAGGAACTGTCACAGCGGAGCATCGCCGGCCAGGAGACCATTCAGTCTTTGCAGATCGGCAAGATTGGTAGCATCGAGTCTCTGTACTGGGCAGAGCAAGCTTTGCCTCAGACCATCCCTGCCGACACCATCGAAGTCGAGCCCAAGTCCATCGGTCTCAACTTGAAGGACGTTCTCACAGCCAGTAAGCGTATCTTTACCATGTTTCTCATCAGCATTTGCTAACTTTGTGTCTCCTAGTGGGTGTTATCAACCCTGTTGGCAGTGTCCAGATGGAGCTCGGCATTGAACTCGGCGGAATCGTCACCCGCGTCGGCTCAGACGTCGACGAATTCAAGGTCGGCGATCGCGTCTTCGCCTTCGCTCCTGAGGGGTGTCTGGCCACTAAGGCCGTTCTCCAACGCTACCATGCCGCCAAGCTTCCCGACAACCTCAGCTTCCAAGACGCGGCAGGGGTCCCGGTTGTGTTTGCGACCGTGATCCATGGCCTCATCAACATCGGCCACCTCCAAAAAGACCAATCGGTCCTGATTCATGCTGGCTGTGGTGGTGTCGGCCTGTCAGCCATCCAGATCTGCCGCATGATCGGAGCGGAGATCTTCGTCACCGTTGGAAGCCCCGACAAGGTCGACTACCTCATGAACACCTATGGCATTCCGCGCAACCGCATCTTCCACTCCCGTGACGAGTCCTTCTTGGACGGCGTCATGAGAGAGACTGGCAGTCGTGGCGTCGACCTCGTGCTCAACTCTTTGACCGGGCCACTACTACATGCATCATGGAAGTGCGTCGCAGAGTTTGGCGTCATGGTTGAGATTGGAAAGCGTGACCTCCTGGGTTATGGCAAGCTGGATCTCAACCCCTTCATTGGCAGCCGACAGTACGTTGGCTTTGACGGCGTTCAGTTTGCCAGAAAGAGACCTAGGTACTTCCGTCAGTTGTTGGAACAGTTCCTCGGGTATTGGGAGCAAGGACACATCCGTCCCATCCCGGAGCAGACTCACTTCCATGCGAGTGACATTGTGAATGCATTCCGTCACTTGCAACATGGCAGCCACATTGGCAAGGTCATCGTCTCGATGGAAGATCTCTCTGCTCAGACTGACGCCAAGCCGCTTGCTAAGTCGATCAAGTTCGACCCGGAAGCCACTTATCTCTTGACAGGAGGTCTCGGAGGCCTGGGCAAGTCCATGTCAACATGGTTGGTTGAGCACGGTGCCCGCCACTTAACGATCATCTCTCGGAGTGCAGGTGTCAGCGATGAGAGCAAGGCCGCGATCAAGGAGATTGAGTCTCTCGGTGCCAAGGTTGTAGCGGTCGCTGGTGGAGTTGAGAACATGGATGATGTCAAGGCGGCTGTCAGCGCCTCATCTAAGCCTATCAAGGGTGTGTTCCATCTGGCAATGATCCTGAGAGACAGCCCAATGGTTGACATGACTTGGGAACAGTGGGACCAAGTAGCCAAGCCGAAGGTTACCGGCGCGTGGAATCTCCATCATGCGCTGGAGAACCAGCCCTTGGATTTCTTCTGGCTCGCCAGTTCAGTCGTCACCGTCGTCGACCAGCCGGGTCAAGGCAACTACAGCGCTGCCAGCACATACCTCGAGGCTTTCACCCAGTACCGCCTCGGCCTTGGCCTTCCAACTGCGATTCTCAACATCTGCCCCATCAAGGGCGTGGGCTTCGTCGCCGAGAGTGCCGTGGCCCAGCGGAACACCAAAGCCCAGGGCATCTACTTCCTCGGCGAGAAGGAGTACCTCGACTACGTGGAACACTCCATCCTCGCCGCCAAGGGAAACCTGTCTGCCTACGAGGAAACACCATCGAGTCGCCCGCCGAAGGCGTGGAAGAACGAGAGTCAAGTTGTGATGGGTCTCCGATCCGAGCTTCACCTGGAGGATCCCAACAACCGCTGCAACTGGCGACGCGACCGCCGCATGGGTGCCTATCACAACATCCGCAACAAGCAGGCCGACGAGTCGGGCGGTGATTCCAGTGCTCTGAAGACGTTCTTGAACCAAGCGTCAGAGAACCCGGATCTCCTTTCGGACAAGGCCAACATCGAGTTCCTGGCCCAGGAAATTGGTGCAAAGGTGTATGACTTCATGCTCAAGCCTGGCGAAGATGTCAACACCAGCTTGAGTTTGGCGCAGATTGGTCTTGACTCGCTAATGGCGACTGAGCTGAGGAGATGGTTCAGGCAACTGCTGGGTTTGCAGGTGAGCGTACTCGAGATCATGGCTTCAGGATCCCTGTTCCAATTAGCGGAAACGGCTTCAACGGCATTGAAGAACAAGGCATCGGGCTCATCATGAGATCGTGGGGAGAAGATGAAGTAGGCGTCGGAATATGAATTTTAATAAGACTTCTGCTTGAAAACTCATCCTCGTGTTCTGTAATGCATGCGTTTGTAGCGGCCCAACGCCCACATAAGCTGGTATCGCAAGACCTCACAAGCCTGCCTCATCGCATCAGGAGTGCACCAACAATGGCCAATGTCGGCACGTAGCCCCAATGTCCCCATTCGCCTCCTTCGCTCATCCTACACATCAGACCATCCACAGCTGGCATCGCGCTCGCCGCAATCAAAGTCGCACCCAAAGACTTCCTGGTCCCCAAGAGTGTGGCGGCGAAGAGAGCTAGACCCATGAAAATGTCGCGCGCACCGTAGATGACCATGACGCGATCAAGAAGCTCGCGAGAGTACGGGTCTGCCGGGTACTTCCATTCGAAGAAAGACAAAGCAGACTCTGGTCTGGCTATGGCGTTGATGCCGAAGACGACAAAGATGGCACCGTAGAAATTGGCGAGGATGGTGAGGACGCGTCTTCGCCCAAACGCGTACCCGAGCGCGCTGCCGAAGGCAGCAGTGATGACAGCGTTGCCACCTAGAGCGACGATCGGAGACGGCGCCGACATTGTGATTTTGGACGCAAAGTTGTTGTTGAACAGCAATCGGCGATGGACTATGATCGCAGGTCTTTAGTGGCACCGCGGCAGCGTGTACTGAGATGGAGTGGTTGCGTGAAGCATGAAACGACGTGTCGCGCGAGCTGACGCCGTCATACCTAGAAGAATCCGACGTCATTGACGTGTCATAGCGTCCGCGTCAATGCGGTGCTTTGTAACATCAAACAGCATTCCTCCATTCTTCCTGTCAAACGCCTTCATCCGGATCCGGAAGATGATGCGGCTCGGTCTCCGAAGGAAAAGCGGACCTTGAATCGGTTCTTTCGCGGTTCAGTAGGAGCTTTAGCGGTCGGGGCAGCTCCGATTGCGGGGCATTTGGTTGAGCAGCGGGCTTTCTCTGTTTTGTTTTGTTAACCGGTTATCGATGCGCGTCCACGAACATATAGAGATGTACTTGATCACAGTGATTGATTCAAGGAAACAGCACAAGGTTGAGTGCTATCACACGCGATGACGGAATACGTTGTGTGGTAGTTCTTTGGTTGGGCTGGTTTCTGACCTCGAGCGATCATATCCACCCCAGTGGAGAGTCCCAGCATTGCTGTGTCCACAACAAGACCTCGGATGCTGACCTGACTCTCTCTGATCTTACAACATCGATAGCTCAGATTCACACAAAGTCAATTGAAATGAACATTGTTAACGACTGCATAACCTGGCCGTCTTCCTCATTTCCTTCCGGAGCAGAGTGCTGTCCATTCGGCCGGGGCCATCTGTGATTTGCCGATCAATCTGAGTAGCCATCCTCTGTGTTTGCCCGATGGTTTTCATCGATTTTTCAGGCCTAAGCCCACTAAGAGACTGAAGTTAACGCATCCCTCATGTGTCCAAGGGAGAAATACGTTCTCCACGTTCTGCGCGACGAAGCATGCATTTGAAGAGGGTTCGATCTGCTCAGGCCCAGCCTCCCGGCATTTGAGTGTACCCCTGCATTCATCCCCGGCAAACGTTACGTCCGAGTGGTCCGATTTTGAGGCCGGAGCGGTCACTGAATCATTAAAATGTCGCTCCGACCGTCGCGCGCATCCTCGGATCTCCAGCCATTTGAGCTTCGAGCGTTGATCAATTGCGACCCCAATGGACGCAGAGACGGCCGCGCTGGCGGCGGACAACGACGGCTATGAGACCGACTACGAAGACTCGCCGAGATCGTCCATTTCGGAAGGCCCCTACCACGATGAGCCGACCTCCGACCGGCCACGCCCGGAGGGCTATCGCGACGAGGAGGCGATGATGATGGCGCCCCAGCACGACCCGACACCAGCGGCTCCTTCAATCTCGAAGCCGGTGGTCTTCCGCCTGTATGTTTCGCATTTTCTATCGACGTGGAACTCCCGCTTGTTTGAATTCGGCGCGGTCCTGTTTCTCGCGTCGATTTACCCCGGGACGCTGATGCCTATGTCCATCTACGCGCTCGTCCGAGGAGTCTTTGCGGTCATTTTGTCCCCATCTATTGGATCATGGATCGATCGCGGCAACCGACTGTCGGTGGTCCGCATCTCGATTGTCGGGCAGAGGCTTTCGGTCGCCATGTCCTGCGGTATCTTCCTCGTGCTTGAAAGGCTGCGCGACCTCCAAAGCGACCTCCAGAACAGCCTCTTCGCGATGGTAGTCGGGCTGGCTTGCGTTGAGAAGTTGTGTTCTGTAATGAATTTGGTTTCTGTCGAACGTGACTGGGTAAGTCAATTGGCGTGCTGTTCCTCTCCTACATGCGTAGGCTCACTGGCGATAGGTTGTTGTCATAACCGAAGGCAATGAGAAGGCTCGGCAAGGTGAGTCTCAAGCCCAGAAGGATGATGGTTGCAACGACTAACATGAAGGACAGAATTAAATGCCCGAATCCGACGTATTGACCTGTTCTGCAAGTTGATTGGCCCTCTCGCAATCTCGCTGATTGATGGCGCATCAACAACAATCGCCATCTGGGTAACTCTTTTGATGACTCTTCTGTCTGTTGTAACCGAGTATCTGTGCATCGCCAGAGTAAGCCCATTCACTACTATAGCTCCAAGGCCGAAATGCTCATCTTGGATGCAGGTTTATCAACTCGTACCAGCCCTGGCACAGCTCCGGGCAAAATCCCAGCCATCAACGCCGGCCGACTCAGATTCAGATGGGCTTGAAGATGCGGACGTACCGCAGACGCAACCGACTACCGGTTGGCTGAAGTCCAAGATCCAGACAGTGTTCCCCGTCTCAGCAATCCCATTCTACTTCTCGCATCCAGCCCTCCGGCCTTCGCTGTCCCTCGCACTGCTCTACTTTACCGTCCTCTCTTTCTCCGGGCAGATGATCACCTTCTTGCTCTCCGTCGGTTACAACTCCTTCCACATCGGTATCGCTCGGACTATTAGCACAGTCTTTGAGCTCAGCGCGACATGGGCCGCGCCCAAGTTGATGGATAAGATCGGTCCCATCCGCGCCGGCATCTGGACTCTCTCGTGGCAGATGTTCTGGCTTGCTGCTGGAGTAAGCTGGTTCTTCGCGGACAAGTCTCAGAATAGGACGAGCAGCATCGAAGCCATCAGCGGACTTGTTGGCGGCGTGATACTGAGCAGAGTCGGACTTTGGGGCTACGACTTGTCTGCCCAGACCATCATCCAGGGGGTAAGTATAACTACTCGTCCTGTCCGTATCAAGCAAAGTTGACTTTGAATCAGGATGTCGACGAGGAACATCGCGGCGCTTTCTCCACCGTTGAGGCCTCCATGCAGAGCATTTTTGAGCTTCTGTCATATGCGGCCACTGTTGTCTTTTCTCGCCCTGACCAGTTCCAGTGGCCCATCCTCATGAGCGTCGGGGCGATCTACGCCGCTGGCGGGCTGTATGCCTCATACGTCCGGAAGAGGCGCGGCCACTTATTCCACGCTCCGCCTTGTCTGCATTGCAAGAAAGCAGAATCTTGAGAACGAGTTATCTGTGTGTGGAAAGCCCAAGACTTTGTGGCAAACATATTTGTCTTGTTGGCAGGCGAAGTGCACTCAGCTCGGGCACCGCCAAGGTGCTGGATCGGCCGGTTTGCCGAGCGTGGGGCCACCGGATGCCAACCGATCAGAAGGGAGACAATCGAATGACGAGTAATCCTAGAATAATCATTGATGATACGCAGTTGTTCTTTAATATGTTCACGGAGAATTTGGGTATCCATTCCATGGGAGCATCCGCGAAACACTCCGAAGTCCTGTTCTGGTCCACTCCTCCGCAGACTTGACAGTCGAGAAGACGATGCTCCGGGGCCAACATCGCGGGTTCCCCGGTAGTCACAGTTTCAGAAATGTGAGCTTTCCTTTGAACACAGAAATGCTCCATATACGGTTCCTACCGTGTTGTGATTCCATTTTTATCCATGGATCTGTATACCACCAAGGTGACCAGCCATGAATTTCATCAATTCCCATCGCCCACATTCTCAGATGAATGCTGCTGAAGCATATTTCTGCTTGAGCCTCCATGGAATGAGTTAGCTGGCATCTACTGTCGTCACTGGGTACCTGGCGACAGGATATGTCAGTAGAAATAAGCTCAAAAACATTTCGTGCGGCTCAGAAAATTGTTCAGTGTGGCATCATCAAGAAGCTGTTGTGCATCCCAACTGCCGACCCCGTAAGGCTAACTCTATCTAGGCCCAACCCTGCCAACGGGACGCGCGGGCAGCGCACACGTCCGCATTGAGCTTCGCAAGCTGCGCGCTCCGACCTCCTGGTTCCCACACCTGCTCATCCGAACAGTGGAAATGGTGGGATGGCAAACCGTGCCGTGACAAGATCCCCTGTCTAAGACGTGTTTTTAAACGTTGCTAGCTGGGGGTCCACGGGAGGCACAGGGGGCTCGCAGCTTTGCGGCTGACCACGGATTCTTAACACCAGCGGTCCAGCTGGGCCCATTAACTGTCTCATATCTTCAACACCCAGGCACGTTGACGACCCTCATGGGAATGATGACTTTCAAGCTTAATGATAAGAAGGAATGTTGCTTGATGTTGGGCATTTTATTGGAGATGATAGAGAACGAGATCTCGGCACCTCTTGCTACCCAATTTTGAGGTGATCGCGTGCTGGTGAGCCGTACTTAGCATGAAAAGCCAAGACACCCGGCCACCATCTAAGTGAAATCTGCAAAATTTAGACTCATCGGCGAATGGCTGAAAATGGAGACTGGGACGGGCTATCTTACCTCTATCGGGCAGTCTTTCCACCATGGCACCTGGACATCACAGAGCTCCGCCTGCAGCTTGCCCCTGAATCCCCCAAGATCTCATTTCGGGCTGGCCGTTTTCGAGCCCTACAGGGTTATGTCAGCGAGAATCAGCGAGAATCAGCGACCATCAGCCCTGAACCGCCCCCTG